CGGGGAGCGTTGGAGCTGAGCGGGGCCTTTGCCCTCGGCTGCGGCGGTGGCAGGCGGCGCGGGGGGCGCTGAGCACAGGGTCTTCCAAGCCTCTCCCTTCCCGTCGGGGGTGACGAGCCGTGCTCGCGGCGGGCCGGCTCCGGTGCGAGGAGGGCAGCCGTGCGCGAAGCCATGGGCTAGCAGGAGGAGGGAGGGAGGGAGGGGAGGAGGACGCAGGGGGCAGTGGAGGGGGCACGTGGTGGGTCAGGAGCAGGGCCCGGCAGCTGCTCCGAGCCTCTGTGGGCACGGGGCTCTAGTCCCCCGAGCGGGGGAGCTGACGTCCAGGCGGTCCCTGCCCGGGGACCGTGGTCCTGGTCGGGGTGGGGGGCTGTGGTGAGCTCCTGTGGTGCGGGAACGGCCTGCAGCTGGGGGCCAAGGAGCAGTCTGCTCGGGGGCCCTCTGCCCTCCAGCCTACTTCCTCCTGACCCCTGTGCGGCTCCCGCCCGGCCCAGTCGGTGGCGGTGGGGCAGGCAGGATCGGGAGGGCAGGGGTTACGTCACACCCGTGACATCACACCTGTCTCCAGCTCGCGGTGATGTCACGCGTGGGGGCGGCAGCCCGGCTGGGGCTCACCTGGCTTGTGTGGCTAGGCAGCAGCTCGGTGGCACTGAACTGCGCAGGGAGGCTGCGTGGCTGGGCAGGCGCGTGGAGGGCCTGGCTCCAGGGCAGGGTCTGGTGGTCCGGCCGGGAGCCGCCTACCCGTCGCCTGCCCGGGCAGAGCCCTCCAGCGGCTGGCGGTGGGTGGGAGGCACCTGCTGCAGCATCGCAGGATCTTCCACCCTGGCTCGGCGCGGACGCCTGCAGGGGCTGCGAGGGGCTGACGGTTTCTTGCCAGTGTTGGCACGCAGACAGCTGGGTGCTGGCAAGCTGCCTCTGGACCCCTGGCGGCACCCCCCGTGCCCTCCCGTAGCGCCAGTGCTGACCTGCAGCCAGTGCTACAGCCAAGCAATAAGTAGGTGCTCCGAGGCCGGAGCAGGGTGCCTGCCCCTTGGCCCAGCCATTGCAATAAGGGCCTCGGGGAGTTCCCAGGGCTGGGGGTCGGCAGGTGATGTGCTCAGTGCCCCTCGCCCAGGGGGCTCCTGCCATCTCCCTGGCTTGTCACGTTAACGACCCGCCATCAGGTGTAACTAGTCCCTTTGCGGTTGTGTTTTTACTAGGACAATAAATCTACCATAGCCAATAGGCCGGCGCCTTGCCCCGCGCTGTGATTTCCTCGCCCAGGGGGAGGCTTGGCTATAGCATCTTTGGCCCCGAAGGGGAGAGCAGCGGGCTGGCACTAGACTCCCAGGCCCTGCTGCCAGCCCTGCCTCGCGCCCAAGGCTGAATTCCTCGCGGCCCATGCCCGTGCCTGTGGCAGACGGCTGGGTGCTGACCCTGGCCTGTGGGGGGGCATTTGGAAGGGTTTGACCCCCTTGGTCCGAGCACCGCAGCCCCGGCTGGGTGGGGTCAGCAATGTGGCCTGTGCCAGCGTCTTCCCCAAAAACCAGATCCTGGCCCCTGACGGCTGTGCCTGGGCACTAAGCCTGGACGACCCCCGCTCACCCTGGCCGGCGCTTCCCCAGCCGCAGCTGTGCCACCGCGCGGCCTTTCCACGACTTTATTAACTCACTGGGCAGCACGTGCCGGCATGTGCGGGGCTAGGATGGGCACGGCCTGCGGGGCAGCCAGGAGACGAGCTCGTCCGTGGAGACGCCCAGCTCGGGTGATGTGCGAGGGGCAGGGGCTGAGCTGCACCCGCTCACTTGGCCTGCTTGCTGTCTGGTTCCCGCACCAGGTTGAGCAGCTTGTCCAGCTTGGCGATCTCCACCTCAGGGCCCTTCTGCACCTCCTGGCCCTTCTTCTCCTGTGGAGGGAAAAGCAGACAGGGCTGTTAGTGGACAGGAGCCGGGCGTTGGCACTTGGGGGGTCTCTCCCTTGTGACCCGTGTGACACCGGGCACAGTGCAGGGAGCCTGCAGGGCTGAGAGGGGCAGCTGGTCCCCAGGCGGGCATGCTGTAGGGCTGATGCACTGGCTGCACCCTGCTCCCCACCAGGCCCACACCTGTGGACAGCGCTCATTTGGGCACCAACGTACCCTCTCTGCCCAGCCCAGTGCAGCGCTGCCGGGCTTGGCACCGACCTGGGCGCTGCAAGGAGGCGAGGGAAGGCCACTGGCTTCCTCAGCACCCACCAAAGAGGAGCAGGCCGAGGCGTGCCGGGTTTCAGGGCACGTGCTCCCCCATGCCCGGCAGCTCGCAGCGGTGCAGGGTGTGAACCGAACCCTGCCTGGAGCCCGGCTGCACCTCCGGCCCCGCGCCGGCCCTTCTCGCCGGCCCCCACACGCCGCCTCCTTCCAGGCTGCCCCACCACAGCAATGCTGCTTCCTTGTCCCACAGCCCTCGTCTCCACCCCAGCAGTGTCAGGACTAAGTGGTGATGGTCCACAGCCGGGAGGCCCTTCACTGGAGGCTTTCAAGCAGTGCCAGGCGAGGCTGGAGCAGCGCGGCTGGCTCTGTGCAGGGGCTGGACCGTAGGAGCCTCAGGGATGCTACGTAAGCATCTGGCCATGTCACGACCTGGGCTGATGGCAGCCTCCAGTGCTAAAAATAATACCTGACAATCCCTGTGCTTGTGGTGCCCTGCTACGCTGCCCACCCACACCTGCCCCAGGGCAGGGCCTCTCCCGGGTCAGGGAAAGGAGGGGTGAGCAGGCTGTGCACGGGGGCCTCTGCCGGCCTCGCGCCCACTGCCCTAGCGTGGCTAATGTGTGGGGGGGGGCTGGCATGTGACAGCTGGCGTGTGCCTGGGCTCCCCGCCGGCTGCTCCTGCCCTGTCCCATGTCACTGCCTCGCTGAGCTCGTCTGCTCGCCGGTGGGGATTGCAGGCTGCCAGGAGCAAGTCACAGACGCCAGGCAGGCACTCGAGCAGACCCTGCTTCCGCTCCCCTGGTGCCCACGGGGGCGAGAGCACGCGGGGGCAGCCGCCCGGGCCGTCAGCCTGCTTTTTCCGTGAAGGGGACGGGCCCTTGAGCATCGATTCTGTTCATCTTGATGGGATTTGCTGGAGCGACTGTTGGATTATGCTCCAGAAGTGCCTGCCGGCTGCCTCGGGATTAACGATCAGGCCAGATGCGCGGCCAGGCAGATATAACCCTGTACACAGGGCGCAGGAGCAACGCCATCGCAGCCCCGGGCACTCGGCTGGCGCGGATGTATTGCTGCAGCCAGATGCAGGACATGCACACACACGGCGAGAGCCCAAGCTACCTGCTTCTGGGCTTTGCTGGTTGCTCCCTCACCCCTGCACCCTCCTTTTTCTGCTCCATGTGTTGTGGGAATTGAAGCCTCCCCCAGAGGCGCTGGGTGCTGCAGCCCAGGCTGGGGATAGGGCTGGGCTGTGCCAATGCTCCTGCTGGCACCAGCCGGCAGGGCCCTGGCTGGAGGTCTTGCCCCTGTGCTCAGGGTCAGACTGATGCTGCGTTGGGGAGGAAGGGATTTTTCTCCACAGCTCAGACGGGGGGTTTTGCCTCCCTCTGCAGTGGGGGCACGGCCCTGCCTGGAGTCTCCGGAGCATCTATGAACCCCTTTGCAGCAGCAGGACGTGGCACTGTTGTCCTCCTGCTTTCCCTGGGGCAGGGGCAGGGGCAGGGGTGATGCCTGGGGCTGTGTCAGGCGCGAAGGTCGTTTTACAATGAGGTTCGATGATGGATGCGTCTGGGCTGGTTTGCACAGGGCTGATCCTGCCTCAGGCCAGGGGCTGGCCTAGCTGTGACCTCTGGAGCTCCCTCCCAGCCCCACTTCTCTAGGACTCTGTGACTGTACCTAAGGGTGGTTTTCTTCCACCCTGCTCCAGTGCCGGACGTACGTAAACATGGCGACTTCCGTACCACGTCATCATTGCAGCCTTAGACCCAGTCCCACCAAGCCGGAGGAGGCTGCATCCCGCTCCGACATGAGGGTGGAGTGAGCTCTGCCCCTAGTCCTCTCCTGCACCAGACGAGGCCTCACACGCGGCGCTCAGCACTGCGCTTGCTGCCCCGGCTCCCGCTCACTGCCAGGCCATGGCCCAGCTCCTGGCAGAGCCAATTCCCCTACCACGCCAGGGTACTGGGACCAGGCAGGGACGATGTGCCCTGGAGCGGAGGACACGGTGGCGCTGGGGAGAAGAACCTGGTCACGGTCCTGGGCACACCCACACCCTGGTGCACTGTGTCCCGGTGCTGGCCGTCTGCCTCCGGTGAGGAAGGTCCCGGGAGACCTGGGAGGCAGCACCTAGAGAAGGAGCCGCTTCAGGCGGCGAGGAGGATGCAGGTTGGGAGGCTGTGCCAGCTGGACAAGCCCGCAGGGACTGGACAGGGGACACTGAGGTCCCACCGAGCCCGGCCCAGCAAAGGCACCCGTTTGTGCGTGCTTTGTTCCAGCCGGCGCGTGTGGGCCCATCCAGCCCCTGTGCGGTGGCACGTCCGTGCTGCCGTTGCTCCCTGGAGAAATGCGGGCATGGAGCTGGGGGAGTGCGGCAGGGAGGCGGGCTCCTGGCCCTGACAATGGGATGTGGAGCCCAGTCCTAGCCAGGACCACCTTGGGGTGGTGTGACCACTCCTGTGCTGCCTGCTCAGACCCTGCGGCGACTGGGGGAAGTCGTGGAGCCATGTGCGAGCCTGGTCAGGAGGGGCTGCACGTGCCAGCGCCAGAGCACAGCGAGTCCCAGCGCTGAGGACCATCGGAAGCCAAAGCCCAGCGGGGAAACCTCTCCCTCTGGGTCATGAGATCAGGGCTGTCGGCCAGGAGACTGGGGGGGCAACGTCACCCCTTTCTTGGCTCTTACAGATATGCGGCGCAGTCTGGAATTACAACTTGGCGGCACATGCAGCCGTGCAAATGCACAGGCAGTGTTACACACTTAACAACCCCCTCTCCCCAAACACCCCCCTCCAGCCACCAAATGTGTCTCCCTGGAGCTGGAGAGGAGGTGGCAGTGGGTTTGGCCCAGCTGATTTCCTCCCTCCTTCCCAAATACACCGGAGCATGTCTCCCCCATGGCAGGCTGCTCCAGGATGTACAGAAAAGCTCTCTCTGATGCTGGAGTTCAGGTGGCCACAAGAAAAGGACAGAGGGGGACATCCTTCCAACACCCTGACCCTGACCCTGCCCAGAGTTCCCAGAGTGCATCAGCTTGTGCACATCTGAGCACATGCACATCTGGGCACACCGCCTCGATGCAGCCAGGGGCACTGGTGGTGCCGAGCGGGGGTTTGACACAGTGCGTGGATCGGAGCCCGGTTCCCTATTGCGCCGCTCTCCCTCTGTCTGGTAGATTAATCCCAAGGCGAGTCTCACACCAGCCAAACCCACCACTTAGTGGCAAATCTAGCAGCCGGCAAGCAGGAGACAGCTCACACCAGCAGACAAGCTTGTGAGGAGAGAAATCATCGCATCGCGGCTGCGGTCTTGAAAATCAGGTACCGGCTGCTCAGCCCGGCTGTTTCCTGTGCAGGCGGCTGGACTGCCTCTGCTGGAAACAGCAGAGGTGATGTCCACCGGGCCAGAGCTCAGCGATGCCTGAAGTCCCACGAAAGAGGGAGAAGTTTCCTGGCTGGGGCGGAGCTGCGGTGCAGCGTGCCCGATGCGTCCCAGCGACCGCGATGACGACATGCTCCAGGACGTGCGCCGGTAAAGTTCACGGAGGCCGGAGGATGTCCGCAGAGGCTGTGAGACTCCACAGGAGCAGCGCTGGCCTTTACAGATGCCCTCCTCCCGCGTCCTTCCACCTGCCACGGCCGCTGCATCGTCTCCCGTTGCCCTTGATCCAACCCAGGGCCCACTCCGGCCAGGTGTGTGCCTCCTTCCTACAGGCTTTCCTTGGAAAAGCGCACCCCTGAACGGGCACTAAGGCTGTTCAACCAGGGCACGGGCTCTGGGCTGGATGCTCAGCGTCTGCCTGGGCACCTGGAGGAACTGCCGGCCATCTGTGAGGCCTCTGAGCCCCAGCACAATGCGCAGTAAGGGCCCTGGGAAGAGGATCCACAGACGACACAAACAGGAAAACAGAGGGGAAAGCCGCAGCCTCCTTAGGGACCTAACTGCGCCAGTCCAGACCGCAGGTGTGGGCCTTCCTCCTGCTGGAATTCGCCAGCTGGAAACCTCTCCTGGACTCAGCCAGCTCTGAAGTCCCGCTGCCCCCATCTAACCCCACGAAGCCAGTGGGGCGAGCACTCACCACCATGCGGGAGACCCAGAGTAATTAAGCAGACACGGGGCCAGAGAGAGAGAGAGAGCAAGAGCATGAAAGCTTTTGACTCTGCCGGGCAGTGGCAGGCCATCCCTGGGGCAGCAGGCAGGCCTGTTCCCATTAATACCCAGCCTCAGCTACTCGTGCGTCCATTTGGACCGTGCTGGGGCTGAAGTTGCAGCCGCACGCTGTGCCACTCACCATGGCCTGGCCTCGTGCAGAACGGGCTGGCTGAGCTCCTGGCAAGAGAAAAACTGCTCTGGTATTTGTCTGTAGTCAAAAAATGAGTGAAAACTAAGAGCTGGTGTTCTTCAAGGGGGGTGTGGAGATGCCTCCAGTCTAAAAAGGCTGAGGACCACTGCTCTTGGTCCTCCAGGCTTGCCCAGGAGTGGGTGTCAGCTGGGCAGGTCTCAGAGGATCGACGCGTTGGATTTAGGAGCCCACCGTGGCACTCAGGCAGTGCCTAAGTGCTTCTGCCTTCAAAAAAGCTGCTTACACGTGCTGTTGAAACTCTTCCAATCTGGGTAGTGAGCATAGGAGTCAGCCTCCGAGCCAGCGCTTCCTAGACCTTCAGTGCTGGAGGCTGCAAGTGAGCGATGAACAGGGGAAAACCCTGCTCAGACCCGGCTCGTCTCCC